TCGTCGATGATGACATCCGCTTCGGCAAGGACGGCTGTGAAGGCTGCGTCACCAGCCGGGATTTCACAACTCATCATCCTCGCACCATCTGTGTTATCGGTGAAGCTGCACCCGGCGGGGGCCACTGTCGGCAATGGGACCACTTGGGCACCTGCGTCTGTGATGAGCTGAGTCTTGTAGACCGCGTTAGTGACGGCATTAGAGCCTGCCCGCTGGCCCACGAACATCACCTTCGGCTGCGCTCCGTTGTACTCGGTGCTGGCGTCGGTGCGGAGCTGGTCCCCGATGGCTTTGAGAGCATTGTAGTCCGCCTTGATCTGCTCGAAGATGTGATCAGCCTGTGCTTCCTCGTTGTAGAAGAGCGCCATGAACTTGATCCACTCGGCACGGCTGAGGCTTCCGGGGTCGAAGGAGATCTCGAAGGGGACGTCCTTTGCGGCGTCGCCGCCCCAACCTGAACCCCAGCTGTCTGTGAACACAACGTCCGTGCGGCTTGCCCTGGTCATCCACTCGGGGTTGGCCGACCAATCCGGCAGGCTCGTTGGGATGTGGGTTTCCGGATAGCAGACCTCCAACAGCTGCATGCAGGGGGACGAGATTGTGCGTATGTCCACCAGGTCGATCGACTGCGACACCCCCAGCAATTCAAGGAAGACAAGAGGGCCACCCCACCCGACGGTTACGTTCTTCACCGGAATCTCGAAGAAGCGGGCATTCGAGGGTACGCCAGGCATGCTTGTGGTAGGCTTCGTGGTGCCACACTGGTAGAGAACCATGGGGGGGATTCTCGTGCCCTGCAGCGATGCTTCCCTATGGCTGGAAGCATAGAGCGACAGCGTATCAGAGTACTCGACCACCTTGTACTGGTCGTAGTAGGTCACGTCGTACAAGCTAGCGAAGCTGATCTTGCCCGACCCTGCTAAGTTGCTTGGAAAGGGCTTTCCCCACGATGGGCAGTCACCCGCTGCTGGCTTGAGGCCAAGGGCCATAAGCAGGGCTGCTCGGGCGAACATGGCTGGCTGATGAGACTGAAAGCACGGGCCCTTGCAAAATGGCTCCAGACAGGGAACTTATGGGCTTCAAGCTGCTAAGAGCTGAACTTCCAACTATGACGCTTCGTATGATCATGTCCCAAAGTGTTTGACTGCGAGGCCTGTCAAGATGTACGGCAGTTTAGGGGCCTTAGATGCTGAACAAATGTTATCACTTACACTGGCAGCTGGTGCACGTCCTACACCATGATGGCGACCCGGCTAAAAAGCTCAACAAGTTTCGCGTCTCTCCTTCAATGCCTCCTCACTAAGGTACCAAGCCCGTTCCATGGTCCATGTTCATCGCAGCTTCTGGGCTGCCCACTCACGCGGTCTCATGCTTCAGTAACTGACCATGCCAGCTAGAACCTCCACATGTTTCCGGATGCAGTTGAGACGGACGACAACCCCGTTGGGAGATCAGCCACCAAGGCCTAGTTGTTTCAAAAATAATTCACAACCCTAAACCCTAAACCCTAAGCTCAAAGCCCTTGGCGGAAGACTTAGTTGCCCTCCAGGGCATCGAAGCGTAGCTCATAGACAACCCCTTAGAATTCAAGCCCAAACAGATCCATCGCCAATAAATGGTCTAGGGTTTAGAGTTTAGGGGTTTAGGGTTTGGGGGTTTAGGGGTGTAGGGATTTAGGGCTCAGGATTTAGGGTTCGGTAAGAACGTCAGGAGCCAGGTGACAGCCCAGGTTATACTGTACAACAAGAAGTGCCGACGCATGCACATCCATGCATAACTCCACAGTTCAACGCAACACGCTGTAGCACAACACATCGTGGCGTAAGGTACCATGGCACAGTACAACATAATGTGGCATTCGTGACAAAGCATATCATGGCCCATCCTCCTGTAACTTGACCTAACATAGCTGCCCGAAGACAGCACAGTGGGAAACAGGCAAAGCATGGCAGAACAAGCAACATGAACAAGAAGCTCAAGCCCCAACTGAACCGTCGACCGCCGGAGACCTGAATCAGCTCCGGACCAGAACGCGAGTCCACCCTTTGGAATCTACCGCGTCTGCCTCGCGGCTTCCTGCAGGGCTGCCTCGACCTGCCAGAACATGTAAAAGGTAATGCATGCAATATGTAACAGTTGTGTAACATACAATGTCATTCAAAAGTGCGTCTCTCTCTGGGCCTGTCCTGCTGTCGGCCTCTGATTTGCATACCCATCCATCTACATACGCACAGAAATTTTAGACAGAGGCCATGATTACATGCACTTGCCCATAAGCTTGCCTATACACCTGTGCATACACATATACACGCATGCATTCATGATTCGCAACCGCAGATGTGTCACAAATCCATGCATGTGCCCTCACAACGGAGAAAAGGGTATGCGTGCGGATGCAGCCGTCTTGGTACGAGCCGTCCGCCATCGTGCGCACAAATACTGACGTGCATGTCAGGGGTTCAGGTTATTAGTGCTGTATCTCTTCACGTGTCTACATGAAGTCTATACGTCGTAATGGCGATTTCCTCATGGACCTGGGCAGCCTTCAAGAAAACACTTGCCCAGACAATGACATTGAAAGTGGCAGGGTGTTGTGGCACAACAGCACGAGCACCCTGCTGAAGAGAGATGGTGTTGTGGAAGAGCCAATTCGGGCAAGAACTCTACAAGCGCTCGGCAGATCTCCTAACACAGAAGCCTCGACTGGTTTCGTGGCTCCAGAGTTTGAGTGGGATGGTCGGGACGGTACGGCTGTAATAAAACATCGGAAAGTCGAGGACGAGTGAGTTCAGATATCCTCGAACAAGCCGTTCACCTATTCAACCGCCACCTGCACAAACACTTGCCCGACCAACAGAACACGAGGCTGCTATGGAAAACAGAGAGCTCCCACAGTGATACAGCGCAGTGATACAGGCTGGCAGGAGAAATGTTTATGCTGGTTCTCCCAGCTTAACAACCCTCAGCTCCTTCCAAACTTACTTGCCCAAGATGACCGGCAGGCAGGCATACAGGGGCTCACCCAGTGCTTGCTGATCGCACTTCTCCAACTCTTCCTTATCTGCTGCCGCTTCTAGGTACAGTGCATGTGCGCCTGACACGACATGTTGCAAGTGCGTGATGCACCCTGCAACCACCAAAATCGTTCCGAAATCGTGCACCACCGTTTGGTGGATGCATTGAACAACATCACCCCTCTGGGACTAGAAGACTCAGCTTCAGGTCAGAAAAATTGCACGAAACCTAGAAGACCCGGCCAAGAGCCAGCTTCTCCTCAAAATCTCTACAGAAAAAAGCCTCCAACTAAAATGCCGCCCAGAAGGGCGCGAACACCAAAGCAGCCAAAGCAAGCGAACCTCCCACTCCGCACGCGGCACTCGCCTCCTGCGATTGAAGCGTTGTCGTCGTCCCGCTGCACATCGGGGGCGTGTGGAGGCGGTCGTGCAGAGACTGACAATCGTTTTGGCCGGCACTGTACAGAGGGCAGTTTTGGTGACCGACCACATTCTGAGCGCTGAGGTCCGAGACACGCCACAGGTACTTCTGCCCGCAGCTGCTGACGAAGTCATCGGTCCAGATCGCCTCCATGAGCCCTGCGAGGAATTGCTGAGGCTCTGACTGCTGGATGTCAAACCAACCCGAGCCTACGGTCCCATCCGAGAATGCATCGCTGACATGCCCGTCAAGGCGGAAGATGTTCGGTGGGTTTCGCGCAAGAGCGGGAACCTGGTCGGCAGTGACGTTGTAGATCGTGGCGAAACCCCGGTACTTTGCTGGGTCGTAGTCGGGCCACAGGGAGGACTCGTCGATGATGACATCCGCTTCGGCCAGGAAGCTCGTGAAGGCTGCGTCACCAGCCGGGATTTCACAACTCATCATCTTGCTCCCATCCGTGTTGTCGGTGAAGCTGCACCCGGCCGGGGCCACGGCCGGCAACTGTACCAACTGGGCACCAGCATCGGTAATGAACTGGGTCTTGTAGGCCGCATTGGTGATGGCATTAGAGCCTCCCCGCTGGCCCACGAACATCACCTTCGGCTGCTGACCCTTCCACTCGGTGCTGGCATCGGTGCGGAGCTGGTCCCCGATGGCTTTGAGCGCATTGTAGTCCGCCTTGACCTGTTCAAAGATCTGCTCAGCCTGTGCTTCCTCGTTGTAGAAGAGGGCCATGAACTTGATCCACTCGGCACGGCTGAGGCTTCCGGGGTCGAAGGACATCTCGAAGGGGACGTCCTTTGCGGCGTCGCCGCCCCAACCTGATCCGAAGGTGTCTGTGAACACGACATCCGTGCGGCTTGCCCTGGTCATCCACTCGGGGTTGGCCGACCAATCCGGCAGGCTTTCTGGGATGTGGGTTTCGGGATAGCAGACCTCCAACAGCTGCATGCAGGGGGACGAGATGGCGCTTATGTCGACCAGGTCGATCGACTGCGACACCCCCAGCAATTCAATGAAGGCAAGAGGGCCACCCCACCCGACGGTTACGTTCTTCACCGGAATCTCGAAGAAGCGGGCATTCGAAGGTACGCCAGGCATGCCTGTGGTAGGCTTCGTGGTGCCACACTGGTAAAGAACCATGGGGGGGACGCTGGTGTTCCTCAACGATGTTTCAGGATGAAACGATGCATGGTACGGACGCCCAGCAGCGGTGTACTCGACCACCTTGTACTGGTCGTAGTAGGTCACGTCGTACAAATTGGCGAAGCTAATCTTGTCCAATCCCGCTAAGTTGCTCGGAAAGGGCTTTCCCCACGATGGGCAGTCACCCGCTGATGGCTTGAGGCCAAGGGCCATAAGCAGAGCTGCTCGGGCGAACATGGCTGGTTGATGAAACTGGAAGCACGGGCACTTGATGCGAAAGCGGCTTCAAGTGCGTTTCTGGGTATCCACTTGCAAGGCTTAGGATAGACTGCATGGCAGTCCAGTGTCGTCGCCCTCAGACGATGCTGAGGTGTAATAATCACTAACAACATGAGCTGCTATAAATCCGACAGGTCCTACAGCATGACGGCGATCCAGTTCAAGCTCCAGCTGCAAATCTGATTTCCTTCAACAGTATCATGTTCATCGTCCAAGTTCGTACCATTCGCCGATCTAGTGGGAACCACCAAGAGTCCGAAGCACAAAGCTCGAGCAATGGACACCAGAACTACAGGAAGTCAGTCGCAAGCCCGGTCGCAAGCCTTGCTAACTGGGCTGTGAGCCATGAAAGCTCTCGAGTGTTTGCCTTGGAATATGCGTGAAGGAAGAGAGGCAACCACACACAGTATGAGTCCTTCTCAAGGCTCAGATATCAGCAAGCCCATGATCGCCAAGCGCCACACCTGCCCATGCCACCGTGCGAGGCACAAACCTCGCAGAGACCTGCTCAAGTCGATGCGCTCCTCTCGGAAGTAGAGCTGGCACTGACCCCGCAAAGCCCAAAGGAAACGCGACAAAAGAGAGTGCACATGCACCGCCTTCACCGGGTCGTGCTCGCCAGTTGTGACCTCTGAAAAGCCAAGCAAGCTTCTGTTTGCAGCTCTCACATGAAGCTGAAGAGACGCCCAAAAAATCCACACGTCTCCCCCCTAGCATTCGGCCCTTACATCACTTTCCAACATCCCCGCCGGAACCTGTGCCTGTCGCGTTGGGAAAAGATGCTGCTCAGAGTCGATGTCTCCGCAAGTGACCCCGACTCGCGAAGTCATGCATGCATGGAATCTCCCCTTCTCGTCCTGTTCTGCAAACCCCAAGCCAAGCATCTGCGCCCACCATGAATAAGGTGCGAATGTCGCCATACCACATGTTTCTGAGACTCCTCAAATTAAAGGGAACCGCTACAGGAACCCTCAAAGGAACCCTTACAGAAGTCCTCAAACTGAAGGAACTTTGTTCAAGCCCCGGACCACCGGCGTGCGCAGCCACATCGATGACGCTGACGGGCCTTTCGAGTGTTGTGGGTTTAGGATGGTTTAGGGTTTACCCACACGGTAGGCTTCGCCATAAGACCTTCAGGTATATAGAATCGTTGGATGCTCTTGAGCGACTGGCCCTTGATCTCCCTGTGCCTGCTATCCATGGTGGTCGGCAAAGGCATGCGCAGATTTGAGGCGCTAGTTCACGCAGTGAAGTGCCATTGCACCCGGACATGTACTAGAATCCATGCCGGAATTATCGTGGAGCCATCTTTGTCTATATGTGATTCGATGATATACTCCCGAACTATCCAGCCCTTTCTAGTATGCGGCACGGAAGCATGACATCGATGAACTTTGAATGGCAATTGCGGGGGTGTCTGCCAGGGCCTGGCTGGCTATTACGATTGTAGCATTGATCCATGGAAGCTGTGTCTCTCTACACTGGGCTCATGCTAACGAGCTTAAGTTAAGCTACCATACAATAAAAGGAAACCATGTTCCTATAGACACATATTGTGGCAACTCGATGTAACTTAACCCGAAACCCTAAACTACCCTAAACCCTAAACCTTAAAACCTTAACAAGAGCCCAGTACATCATCCTGCTGTCTCCTTGCAGGGTCTTGGCATGCGCAAATCTGTGGAAGAATGAGCTCTGGGACATCACGAGAGCCGGATGGGCAAGGCAGGATTCAACGGCACAAGTCATAAACCTTAGACCCTACTTGGAGGTTCACGGGTAGTGAATGTGGGGTTTATAAGTCCCCTCTACCCTACTTATAACCCCACTTTAAACTGCGCATGAACCTCCAAGTAAACCATCAATCCTCAGACCCTCAACCCTTCGGTAGACCCAACAGGCCCTCAGCGCCAGAGAAGATCGGACTTCAACCAGACGTGCAAAGCTCGAGCAGGAGCTCCCGACGTATTTCCAAAGCAGACAAGGCTTTGGGGTTGAGGGTTGAGGATGCCCAAAATCAAAGCTACTGGCATTTGCTCCACATCCACAGCAACGAAACGCAAAAAGATAAACTCAAGCGCATATCAGCGTTAGACGTATGATCCTGCGTGCCGATGTTGACATGCTTGCCGCCGGCAAATCAGCAGCACCGAATGAGAATCACGGCAAACCAACAACCGGCCAGTGCTGGCCAATGTTGCCAGACCGCCTGTCAGCTGAAAACTCGGTCTGGATGTTGGCCTGACCACACCTACCAGTCTTCACTCCCCTTGCAGCGAGAGCAAGCCCTCAAGCCACTATGCCGTCGGGGGAAGCCTGGCAGCAGTGTGCGGCACCGCAACAGAGAGCCCCAAGGCTGAGAAAATTTGATTCCTTCAGCTTCAGGAGCCCTTGCTTGAGCCAAAATGGCTTGAGAAAATTTGATTCCTTCAGCTTCAGGAGCCCTTGCTCACGGCCGTTCACAAGTGACATGTTAAGAAGTTGGTTTCAAAATGAATGTCGAAAACAAATTGTTCCTAAAAACTGTCAATCGTGAAAACATGTCAAATGTCAAAAACATGTCAAACGTTATTTGTTGCGCGCACCATTGATTATGCATAGGTCAGAGTGAGACACGCCCACCCTAGCACCCCACACACATAGCACACACCACCACACACCACACACGACTTCAAGAGATAGGCCGAAAAAAGAAGAGACCGTCAACAAGTTGAGGTGTTCCTTCGTCCACACCTTGATTTTCAAGCTTGTCCCTTTCAGGATTTGCTTTTGAGGTGCATCTGAGCAAAACCAATACAAGGCTCGCAAATATTGGAACGGTGTGTTCACACCGTTCCAATATTTGCGAGCCT